ACACCCCCAGCCCTTCATTGGGGGATTCTAGGCAGGGGCTCTACCACTGAGCCACACCCTAGCCCCTCACTGGGGGATTCTAGGCAGGGGCTCTACCAGTGAACTACATCTTCAGCCTTCCTTTCACTTTTTATTTTGAGATGAAGTCTCATTACTTTGTTTTCTTCATGACAGGGTCTCACTGTGTAACTCTGGCTGTCCTGGAACTCACTACATAGACCAGGCTGGACTTGAAATCACAGAGATCCTGTCTATGCCTCCTGGGTGCTGGGATTGAAGGCATACACCATTGCACCCAGCTAAGTCTCACCACTTTTGAACTACCTCTGCTACCAGCCACCACTGTACGGACAATTTATCCATTACTGTTGAGTTGAATTGTGCCCCACCCCCAAAAGATAGGTTAAAGTACCGAGCCTTGGTACCTGTAAATGTGACCTTATTTTGAAATAGGCTCTCTGCAGATACGACAAAGTTAAAGCAAGCTCACTAATCTCTAACACAGTGACTGATGCCCTAATAAGAGCAAGCAATCAGGACACAGACATACACAGAGACAGAAGTCCATGTGTCAATGCAGACAAATCTGGAGTGACCCACCTGGTCTCCACCTTGGACACTAAGGATCACTGGCACCACCAGGAGCTAGACACAAGAAGGGCTTTTCCTAAACCTTCAGACAGAGCACGGCTCTGCTGGCATCTTAACTTTGGCAGTGCAGCCTGAGACAATACATTTCTGGACTTTGTGAGCTGGTGGGTTTTAGTTTGTTGTTTTCCTTTTTTTGACAGGGTTTTGTTAGGTAGCTCAAGCTCGATTCAGATTCCCAGAGATCCTCCTGTCTCAGCCTCCTGAGTGCTGGGGTTGCAGACATGCTCCAGCACGTGGAGTTCCATTTCGGTTTTGACTCATTCGGTTGACGGCAGCTTGTAATGGCGACTTCGGGAAACAAGCACAGCCACTAATTCCTGATTTGGGTAAATGTGTCAACGCCAGCACTGGGAGAGCAGAACGTGCTGTTTTGTTTTGTTTTTTGAGACAGGGTTTCTCTGTGTAGTCCTGGCTGTCCTGGAACTCACTCTTTAGACCAGGCTGGCCTTGAACTCAGAGATCTTCCTGCCTCTGTCTCCCGAGTGCTGGGATTAAAGTTGTGCACCACCACTGCCCACCTGAAACATGTTTTTAAATTCAGTTCATGGACCTCTTAACTGGAAGACCATCTTGTGGGATGAACCAAGAAGTAGGGTACTAATTCTGAGGGGTTTTGTTTATTTGTATTTTTTTTTTATACTGACAGGTCTCATGTAGCCTAGGCTGTCCTCAAACTCACTGTGTAGCCATTGATGACCTGTCTGTTTTCACCTCCTGAGGGCTGGGGTCACAGGTGTGTGCAACCACACTAGATTTATGAGGTACTGGGGTTTGAACCCAGGGCTTTGTGAATGCCAAGCAAGCACTCTACCAACTGAGCTACACTCTGAGACCTAATTCCGGAGCGTTAATTCTCATTCCCAGCCTTTTTGTTTTGTTTTGTTTGTTTAAAGATTTATTTATTTATTATGTATACAGAGTTCTGCCTGCATAAAGAAGGCACCAGATCTCATTACAGATGGTTGTGAGGCACCATGTGGGTGCTGGGAATTGAACTCAGGACCTCTGGAAGAGCAGCCATCTCTCCAGCTCAGCCTTTTTGTTTTTTTTTTTATGCACACGCAGATACCATTCCTGGGAATAAGGGTGGTGACTCCTGGTTTCATTATAAGTTGAGCCTTTAGAAGACGCACAGAAAGCTTGTAGCTCAACCCACCATGAAGATCACTCACGTATATGGGATACTCCTTGTGAGCCTTGCTTTAATCATCTGCACGATGGGAAGGCACGCTCTCCCCAGGCTTCCCACAGGTGCAGAACCACCTGGCGCATGCGTGGTTGGTGTCAGAAGGGCCCTTGTGGACCAGTCACCCCCACCTCGTGCACACACCCTGCTTCTGCAGGTCCCTTACTGCAAGGAGCAGGACGCTTGGTGGCTGCCCTTACCTGTGCTGTGAGCTGGATGGGTTGGGACAAGGTGAGCTGTGGGGTCCCTGGGGGCTGGCTGGCAGGCTGTGATGGTGGCAGGTCACCTCCCCCAGAGGAGGCTGGGGGCTGCGAGGCAGAGGAGGAGACAGAGGAGGAGGCAGAGGAGGTGGAGGAGGCAGCGGCTGCGGCGGCGGCGGCGGCGGCGTTGGCGGCGGCGGCGGCACTGGACTGCTGCACGGCAGCGGCCAGCAGCTGGGCCTGGGCTTGCTGAAGGAGAAGCTGCTGCTGCGCGGGCATCAGCGCTGTGAGCTGTGGGCGGGCGGCCGAGGAGGCAGCGAGCAGGGCAGCAGGGGCAGAGAAGGCAGAAAGGGGTTAGTATCCGAATCAAGCCGTTAGCAGACACATCCTTTACAGGACAGAGGAGGAGCAGAGGCCAGGGTCAGAGAGTGGCTGCGGCCTCCGTGAGACTTGTCCCCTGCACGGCCTGCAGCCGATGGGAGGTCATGCCTTCTGCCAGGTCCTCTACCAGATACTTACCCCAGCTAGCTGGCTGCCCGTCAACATGAGTTGGGCCTGGGGCAGATGAGGCTGAGCCGGCTGGGGGGGCGGGGGTGCTGCCTGGGCCGAGTCACCACTGAGGTCTTCAGCCTTGATCTGGGGAGGAGAGAGGCAGGGTCCGGGACCCCAGAATGTTAAGTGGAGGCCAGAGAGAATGCCCACCTGCGAACCAAAAAAGAGGGTATGCGTGTGGCTGTGGCAGCCCTGGGCTGGCACAGGGGAGTGGGCGAGAGCAGTGGCGAGGCTGTGTGGCTTGAGGCCTCTGGCCACTTCTCCGGCCTCAGTGTCCTTTCCCGACGGGAGAGGCCACCTTTGGGAAGCACCTTCCTCCTCCCAGGGGTCACTTTCCCCACCTATAAAATGGGAAATGCCGGTGCTAGGAGCGTAGGGAGGTCTCTAGGACTCTCACATGCCCCCCTTTGCTTCAGCTTGGGGTACAACTCCTTTGTTGTGGTGGTGGTGGTGGCTTTTTGTTTTCTGTTTTTTGAGACAGGGCCTCACTGTGTAGCTCTGGTTGTCTTGGAACTCACTGTGTAGACCAGGCTGGCCTGGAACTCATGGAGATCCACCCACCTCTGCTTCCTGAGTGCTGGGATTAAAGGTGTGCACCACCACAGCCAGTTAGGGCTGCAGCTCTTATTTGTCCGTTGGGATAAAATTTGGTTGAGCAGGCCGGAGAAATGGATCAGTGGTTAAGAGCACCGGCTACTCTTCCAGGGGACCAAGATTTGGTTCCCAGCACCCCCATGGCAGCACAACCATGGATCGGTAAGTCCAGTTCTGGGGTATCTGGCCCCCTCTTCTGGCACCGATGATGCATTAAATGCACACGGTGCACAGACAAGCATACATGCAAATCTCTTACAAACATAAAATTAAATTAATTTTTTGTTGTTGTTGAAAAGAAGGGTCTTGCATGTTTAAAAAAAATCACTACCAGAGGCTAGAAATCATGGTACACACCTGTAATCCAGGCATTTCAGGAGGAGGCAGAGGCAGGGGGCTTGCTGTGAGTGCCAGGCCAACCAGGGCTGCTGCACATGTATTTAGGAATGGATGGATGGATGGATAGATAGATAGATAGATAGATAGATAGATAGATAGATAGATAGATAGATAGATAGATACATACATACATACATACATACATACATACATACATACATAGATGATAGATACACAGATAGACACATACATACAAAGATAATAGATACATAAATACATAGATAGATAGATAGATCATAGATACATAGATAGATAATAGATAGATGATAGATAATAGATAGATGATACATAGATGAGAGATAGATAGATAGATAGATAGATAGATGTAATAACAACTAATGAGAAAAGCAGACATGAATTTGAAAAATAATAAGGAGGGGGATATGGGAAGGTCTGGACGAAGGAAAGGGAAGGGAAAAATGATGTAATCATATTATAATATCAAATACATGCCAGACAGTGATGGCACATACTTTTAATCCCAGCATTTGGGAGGCAGAGGCAGGCAGATCTCTGTGAGTTTGAGGCTAGCCTGGTCTACAGAGTGAGTTCCAGAACAGCCAGGGCTGCATAGAGAAACCCTGTCTTGAAAAACCCAAAAATTAGCCAGGCAGTGGTGGTACACGCCTTTAATCCCAGCACTCGGGAGGCAGGGGCAAGCGGATCTCTGTGAGTTCGAGGCCAGCCTGGTCTACAGAGTGAGATCCAGGACAGGCACCAAAACTGCATGAAGAAACCCTGTCTCGGAAAAATAAAAATAAAAATAAAATAAAAATAATAATAAGTTGGAGATATGGACTTTTCCTGGAAAGGACATTTGAGGGTCTCATAATCAACTTTAAAAAATATTTATATTTTTTATTTTATTTATTTTATTTTATCTGGCATGGGTATGCCCATGCTCAAACGCATGTGTGTAGTAGGTCAGAGGACAACTTGCAGAAATTAGTTCTCTCCTCCCACCACATGGGTCCCAGGGATCCAACTCAGGTCTTCAGTCTGGGCAGCAAGTACCTCTACCCCCCAGCCACCTCACTCCACCCTCCATTAAATCGCTTACTTGGTTTTTTAAAAACAAAAAACAAAATCCCAAGGTTTTGCTACATTATGTAGCCCAGGCTGGCCTCAAACTCAGGGCAATTTTCTTGCCGTAGCCTCTTTAGGGCTGAGATTAGAAGCATGTGTCACTATATTCAACAGTATTCTTGGAGCGTGCATAGCTTGGGAAAATTATGAACGATATACTAATGATCCACCTGTATGTATGTGTGTATATATGTGTGTGTGTGTGTGTGTGTGTGTGTGTGTGTGTGTGTGTGTAAATGTATATTGTATTTTAATATGAAGTTGAAAAACACTGAAAACTTTTTGGTTTTGGTTTTGGTTTTTTGAGACAGGCTGTCCTGGAACTCTCTCTGTAGACCAGGCTGGCTTTGATCTCACAGAGATCTGCCTGCCTCTGCCTCTCAAGTGCTGGGATTAAATGCATGCACAACCATGCTCAGCTTCTGTTTTTGAAGCAGGTCTCAGGCAGCCCAGGCTGGTCTCAAATTCTCTAGATAGTCAGGGATGACCTTGAACTTCTGATGTTCCTGTCTCCACCTCCTGGTGCTAGAATTCAGGGATGAACTGCACTGCCTGGTTTATGGAGTATTGGGGATCATCAAGCATGCTAGACAAGCACTCCCAATGGAGCCACATCCCTGGCCTATTTTGTTTTGAGACAGGGTCTTGCTAAGTTGCTCTGACTAGCCTGGAACTTACTATGGCAGCCTACGTTGGCCTCCAGAGAGATGGCATGGAATGCTTGCCCCAGTACAATTGACCGTGATGACATTTTAAGCATCTCACCAATGCCGGCTAATCTTCCCTTTCAACCGGTGGAGAAGAGGCCCTGGGGTTAGACCCTTCAGCACATGAGGGACTCTGGGTAGAATTTAATAATCATTGTATTTATTTCCATGGTAAGTGATTCTGGTTTTCCATTCATGAAATTTCCATTTAAAAACCATTTATTCAAGCTGTTGAAAAACGAAGCTGTTCATGAGTTGGTAATTGTTGAAACTGATTGATGGGTTCCTGGGGGTTGGTATTTTCGCTACACGCTTCTATTTTTGTATCACATTTTCCATAATAAAATGTTTTTAAAAATTGAGCCACTTAACAAAATTATTATGTAAATAATAATCCACAGCAGTGCACAGATGTATCGGGGATGGAGGCACAGGGATCGCTGTGGCTGGGGAAACTCCAATGCAGAGGAGGTGGGGAGAGGTGGAGAGCAAAGGCCAGGGCTGTAGAAGCAGGGTGAAATGTGGAAGAAATTCCAGGCCTGAGAAGGAGAGGGAGGACCCTCCACTGCCCCTCACTGGCTTCCCAAAGGAAGTTGCTGTTAGGAGCAGAGGAAATGGCAAAGATGGGTGGGCACCCACTGCTGGGCTGCGGCAAACAGTAAGGCTCGGGTCAGCTCAGGAGTTGGGGGGCCCTTCTGACGCAGGCCCTGGGTCCCAGTGCAGAGTAGAAAGGACACTTGATCACAACGTATATTGTCCTCCCAGCACTGGGGACAGAGCAGACAGGGAAGGGACCTCAGAGGTCGCCCCGCCTCCAGTCTGACTGCCCCCCCTCCCCCAGGGCTAGCAAAGGGAAACTAAGAAGCTCAGAGAGGGGAAGTGACTTTCCCATGGTCACAGAGCCAAGATGCAGAGCTGGGTGAAGAGCACTTCTGAGTCTCACCTAGTCCTCCAGCCACCTCTGGTCAGGGCTCTGTCCATACCCCCGTTCTTGCTTCTCCTTTTAGGCATCTGAACCTGGTCTGCGGCCCTTACCACTATCAGGCTAAACGGAGCCTGGGCCCCAGAAGCTCCCTGAGCCCCACAGGGCCTCACACAGAGTCCCCTCCTCTCCATCATTACCCTCTCCTTCATCCCATGGGTGTCAACACTGGACCTGCCAACTTCTCTTATCCCGGTCCCTGCTGTGTGTGTGTGTGTGTGTGTGTGTGTGTGTGTGTGTGTGTGTGTGTGTTGGGGTACAGGGGTGCTTCAGGCCCCTTCGGCCAGGGAAGTCGGGATGGGGGAGGAGCCTTGGCTTCCTGTTGTTATCGCCCTGGGGCTCTGGGGGGGATTTCCCTGGCCACCCCCACCCCCTAGGGAAGGGGAAGGAGACTGGGTGAGTCACAAGCCTGGGGCGGGAACCCGAGGGTGAGAAGGGGCAGGAGGAACCTTGTCACCGGGTCCTCTTGCAGGACCTGGGTCCACAGCAGGCATGCTGAAGATGTCCTTCATCCCACATACCACCTCCCTTCCCGGAACGATCTCACGGGTGCTTACCTTGGTGCTAGGGCCAGTTGGGGACACAGAGAATGAGGAAGCCTTGTTCTGGGGGTTCTGTGAAGAGAGAATTGGGGCAAAGAGATGAGAATGGTGTCGTGAAAAGTTCTGGACATCTGCCCCCACTAACCACTGCTCTCTCCTTCCCTTCCTGCCCTCGGGCGCGCCTGAGCCATCCTGACCTGATGGTTGAGGTCCGGTCCATTTCTTTCGGTGTCTGTGAAGGGAAAGAAAGGTCGTGTTGCCAGCCATTCCTGCACACTGCCCCCGTCCTCACCTGCCCCCGTCCCTGCCTCCGCCCATCCCCACTCACCTGTGTGCTCTGGTGGGGAGTCCAGACTCTGCTTTTCGGCCTCCAGGGGCTTAGACATTCTTATTTCTGGAAACAGAGAAGGAATGAAAACAGAGGGAAGGAGAGGAAGCCAGCAGGACTCTGAGGTCCTTCTGCCAACTCCCACGCCCTCTACCTACCTTCCCAACCCCACTGCTACCCCTGACGCTTCGAAGGATTTTTTCAGAGAGTTCTGGGCCTCTGCCTTCCCCTGGAAGGACAAGAGAGGGCACCTCCAAAAAGTAGTGCAGGAGGTGTCAACCACTGTGAGGCAGGCACCGGGGCGGGGTGGAATATGGTCACAAGAAGGCATCAGCTGTCTGGGAGGAGCCGATGAGGTCCCTAAAGGAGCCAGTACGACCTCTGGCCTCCTCCCAGGCAGGTGGCCGAGGCTCTAGCCCCACCATACCGGGTTTCGAGTGAGACATGTTTTCCACTCTGAGTAGGGCAAGCGAGATATGATGGGGTTGCCAGAACCCCAAAGTGGGGAGCTGTCAGATCTCAGGGTGTGAATCAGCCATCCTCTGACCCACCACTTTCCCTGTCCCCAGGTCCCCACATAACTCCCACTGGCCTTCCGTGTTGCATGATGTCACAAGCCTGGCAGCCCCACCCTCCTCCCCTCCAAGCCCAACACCATCCACCTCTACCCTGACCCTGGTCTTCAAAGCAATCCTAGACTTTATAGCTCCCAGCTGCTCTCTCAAATCTACATGCATTCTATCGTTTCCAGAACCCAAGGGAGGTGGCAGGTAGTGAGCCGGGCACCAGAGGAACCAAAGTCCTCACAGTGCTGATACCTATCATCAAAGGTGCGTGTCTGCCACCTCCCAGCGCAGAGCCAGGCAGGACACATGGGCCACTGGTACTAAATCACTCCATTTCACGTGGAGGGAGCTGAGACTCCAGGGGCTTTCATGCCAACTGGAACACATCAGCAGCAGTGGGTATCCTGAGCACACCCTGGTGTTCCCGAATCCAGGGGCTCTGCTTCTAATCTGGATCCCTCTGGGCTAACAGTCCTCAGGCCTCATCTTCAACAGTTCAAAGCCTGTGCTCATCAGGGTCCTGACTCCTACCCTCCTGAGTCTGGGCCACAGCAAGAGCTGGGGTTCAGCCCTACCCATTCTCAGTTCCCTGAGCCTCAACCCATACTCAGATATTCAGCCCATACTCCAAGTCCTTCGTATGACCGTGACTCTCAACAGTCTCAGACCTAACTCACGACACCCCTCCATAACTACCCAAAAGCCCCACCAAAATCACAGAATCCCTATCAAATAAGGCACCCAACTCCAGTGTGCCCCACACCTCATATGGCCACAGAGGGCAGGCTGAAGTGTGGAGAGGAACTCTGCACAAAGAAAAAAGCAGTAAGATGCTAGGAATTTTGTGATTGAGGATTACAAACCCACTCATGGCTTGAGAGTCCTAATTCAAGGCTAGGCTGAGGGGCAGGCGATGGCTTGGAGGCTAAGAGCAAGTACTGTTCTTACAGAGGACTGGAGTTCAGTTCCCAGCACCCACATCTGGTAGCTCACAATTGCCTGTAACTCCAATTCCAGGGGACCTAAAGTTTTCCAACATGTGCACATACTGATGACCCCCTCCCATATATGTAACTATTAAAAAAAAAAAGCTGAGTCGGGCATTGTGCATGTGTTACTGGTGTGAGCGTAAATAATACAAGCACTCCACAGAAAGCTGAGGAGATGGCTGCTCCTGTGACCCAGTACCTCCACTTCTAGGTACCTGGCGAGCAGAGGAGGCTCTGACCATGTGTCTCAGTGGTACAGCGATCACCCAGCATGCACAGGGCCCTGGGATCCATTCCCAGCAAAAACACACAAACGTACACACAAAGGAAAAAGAATAACTTGTCATCAAAAGCCCAGGCCCCAATGTTCAGACTTTGAATCGTAGCTCCAAATTGGAGAAAACTGAAGAGCCTATCAGCGGACCAGATAACCAAAATGTGGTATGTCCATACAATGAAGTACACTACACCAGTGAAAAGGAACAAAGTCCTGCTTCAGACACACCACCAAGTCTTGCAGGCTGAGGGAGAGGCACCAAACACAGGCGCAAACATACAGCTCTGAATCTAATACCCAGAGCTGAAAACCCAGCAAACCGGTCTGGTCGTGGTGACAAAGGTTGGTAACCCCAGGGTTTGAGAGGTCGAGGCAGGAGGATCAGGAACTCAAGGTCACCTTTAGCTACACAGTAAGTTTGCCACTAGCCTGGGCTACAAGAGACCCTATCTCAAAACAAACAAAACCTGGAGCTGACGTGATGGCCCAGCGTACAAAAAGGACTTGCCACGGCAGCCTGACGACCTGAGTTCAATACCCGGAACCCACTGGGAAAGGGGAAAGCTGACCCCTGAGAGTTGTCCTCTGACCTCCACACACACCTTGGCACGCGCTCCAGTAATAATAAGTAATTTAAAAAAAAACTCACAAGAACAAGCTGGGCAGTGGTGGCGCACGCCTTTAATCCCAGCACCCCAGAGGCAGAGGCAGGCGGATCTCTGTGAGTTCAAAGGCCAGCCTGGTCTACAGAGCTGGTTCCAGGACAGCCAGGGCTGTTACACAGAGAAACTCTGTCTCAAAAAACAAAAAACCAAAAAAAAAAAAAGTCACAAAAACATAAAACAAACTGCTTAGGCCTTCTAGGGCAGTGGTCCTCAGCCTTCAGCCATAAAATTATTTCATTGTCACTTCATATTGTAATTTCGATGCTGTTGTGAATCACTATGTAAATATCTGATATGCAGGATGTCTGGTATGTGACTCCTTCCAAGGGGTCACTCAACTCCCCACAGGGGTCTAGACCCACAGGTTGAGAACCACTGTCCTAGGAGCTCAGGCTATCAAAGTCACACAGGTGGGTGAGCATCTGTGAGGAGCATTTGTCAGGAAAGATGTGAGGGAGGCAGCAGGGTCTTCATATGTCAGAACTCACCATGCTTGTCACTTAAAATCTGAACACTTAACTATGCTCTGGTTTTTGTTTTGTTTTGTTTTTAAACAGGGTTTCTCTGTGTAACAGCCCTGGCTGTCTTTGAATTCCCTCTGCACACCAGGCTGTCCTTGAACTCACAGAGATCCACCTGCCTCTGCCTCCTGAGTGCTGGGATTAAAGGCGTGGGCCCCCACCATGCCCAGTTTGCCTTGTTTTGTTTTGTTTCGAGACAGGACCTCACATAGCCCAGACTGGCCTTAAACGCTCGCTCTATGTAGCTAATGATGATCTTGATCCTCCTGCTTCCAGCTCTGAAGGATTGAGATTGCACTGTGCATCACCACACTCTGCTTACATGGTGCGAGAATGGAACCCGGGACTCTGCATGCTAGAAAAGCTCTCTGCCAACGGAGCCACACCCTCGGTCCCTCCCTTGTTTGTTTTGAAGCAAGCGTTTTCTAGCCCAGGCTGGTCTCAAGCTCACAGCAATCCCCCTGCCTCAGCTTCTGGAGTGTTGGAATGGCAGGGGTAAACCACACCATGCCTGGCTTGGATGCCATATTTCAACCAAGCACAGAAAGGATAGAGCCTGGGCTGGCCTGTCAGTGGGACGGCGCCTGCCTCTTGTGTGCATGGCCCTTGGTGTGATCATTGCCACCTCCAAAAAATAAGTGACCAGAGAGACAACTGGGTCAGTAAAACACTTGCTATGGGAGCACAAAGGCTGAGCTCAGCCCTCAGTACCCACGGAAAAAGCTGGGTACGCTTTTAATTCCAGCACCGTGGGAAGGGAACAGGACAGGGGGAACCCTAGGGTTAGCTGGTCAGCCGGCCCAGACTAACCCACAAGCCCAGGTCCCAGGGGGAGACTCTGTCAGTTGAAGAGCTGGCGAGATGGCTCAGGATGAACGTTCTTGCCGCGAAGCCTGAGTTCAGTCCTGGAACCCGCATGGGAGAAGGAGAGAACTGACTCCCACAAGTTATCCTCTGAGCTCCACATGCATGTATGGTTTATGTGTACCTACGTACGCACGCACGCATGCACGCACGCACGCACGCACGCACGCGCGCGCGCACACACACACAATGTGAAAAGTAAGGAGGACTCACTCCTGAGGACTAACACTCAAGCTTGACCTCTGGCCTCATACACAGGGGCACATACATGTATGTGTGGTCGCCCCATGCACTGGCAAACACAAATGCACACACATAACAGAAGCTAAATACAAGCCGCTGTGTGTTTCTATGAAGGCATAGATAGGCTGGGGAGGGTTGGGGAGGGCTGGGGAGGGCAGGGCAGGGGAAGGCAGGGGAGGATTGAAGAGGGCTAGGGAGGGCTGGGGTGCTGGGGAGGCCAGAGGAGGACTGGGGAGGGCAGGGGAGGACTGGGGAGGGTAGGGAAGGGCTGAGGAGGGCAGGAGAGAGTTGGGGAGGACAGGGGAGGACAGGGGAGGGATGGAGAGGGATGGAGAGGAATGGAGAGGGATGGAGAGGGGCACAGGTGCTCAGAACCCTCTAGGAACCCAGGCCGTGTGCTCAGACACTGAATGGCTGCCAGTGAGATGCCAAGAGATGAAGCAGAAGTTAGGCAATGACTAATGCTGGTCCTAACTCACCCAGACTCAGCCCTTCTCCAGGCAGCGTCTAACTAACCCTCCCTGGATCCAGAATCTACCACTGGTGGCATCCTTGAAACACGATGCCTGACTCAGCAGCCTTCCATCTAGCTCCTTCTCCTCAAGAAACATCCAGGTTCCCCAGCCTGGCTCCCAGGGTATGGCCACCACCCTTGACTTCTCTTCTTACCCCACCATGCATCCAGTTCCTCACTGTTCAACACAGAGAACACCTCTCCCTACTTAAGGAACCTGCCTGACAGGCCACAGTGGGCGGGTTCTGTGACTCCCACCTGCCAAATGCCTCTATGGCCCATAGATGGGGCAGCCTCGGACCTCACCACTCCAGAAGTTCCACACACACCCCTGCCCTCTGCTGTGAGGCAACCCCCTCACCAAAGCCTCATGCCTGGTCTTCTCTGAATGTAACTGTATTTGGAGATGGGATCTTTTTGGGTTTTTTTTTGGACACAGAGTTCCTCTGTGTAGCCCTGGTTATCCTGTCCTCGAACTCACAGAGATCTACCTGCTTCTGCCTCCCGAATACTGGGATTAAAGGTGTGCACTATCACCGCCTGGCAAGACAAAATCTTTATTTGGGAGGGGGGGTTTGGTTTTTGGTTTTTCGAGACAGGGTTTCTCTGTGCAGCTTTGCGCCTTTCCTGGAACTCACTCTGTAGACCAGGCTGGCCTCGAACTCACAAAGATCCGCCTGCCTCTGCCTCCCGAGTGCTGGGATTAAAGGTGGGTGCTGCTGCCGCCACCGCCGCCACCGCTGCCACCGCCACCACCGCTGCCACCA